TGAGAAATCACTTGTTGTATTTGAGGGATGGTAATAAGATAGCATGATTGGAGCGTGCTGGGGGAAGGAGGAGGTGGGAAGTAATAATGGACATTTAACTAGGGCCAGATCATGTAAATATAGCTATTACAATTCTACTGCCAAGAACTGTGTTTGGCTATGTTCTTGTATGTGATAGGAAGCCTTTGAAAGATAAAAGTAGAAGCACATCATTTGTAATCTTTGTTTCAGTCATAAGGCATTATGGGAAAACCCAATGGCTCCTTGTGCCTTGTATTTTGCAGAAAGTGTCACAATACATTTTGAGTATCCTGTTTTCTAGCTACAAAGTGGAGAGAATATGCCGTACTAAGGGATCTGAAAACATCACGCAGGTATGTGAACATACCAAGCGGATATGCTAAATCCTAAATTGAATTTTATGGTGACCACTTGATTATCAAGGTCAGCCTGTAAAGTGGGCTTTTTCTAGGTGTGGATACACTGTCACTTGATAAAACATGAATCAAACTGGAGTAAAACAAGCAAAACATTAGAGCTTATTGTAAAGGCCAAAGGATTGTTGTAAAGGTCAGCGTTCAGTGTTGAATTTTGCAAATAAAAATGTTTGGTCACTTTCTCTAAAACAGGGGGTAGTAGGTGTGTGGTGATAGAAAGTGAGTGCATATCCCACAGAAACACTGCTGTAGCACTGTATAAAGGAAGCAACCCCCATACCCCATATTACCCTGCATTGGCAGATCTATCACTTCACCTCTGACACTCAATAAAACTTTATTAGTTACAGTTTTATTTCTAAAAGCATATAATTTTGCTTTCACAACAACCTCAGGAAAGGGCTGGGACAAGTAAGACCCTTAATAGAAGAATAAAAGAAAACAAGGCTTCTAAGAAAGCAAGTCACCTGCCTATGGTCAATGTACTACCAACCTTCTTAAAGAACAGAAAAGGGCAGGTCTTTTGAGTTCTGATCCAAAGTTCCACACACTAGAGTATGTTTTTCTTAATATATGGAATACAGTGGTGCTGTAAACATGTGGAATAAATGATATGTTAAGGGTTAAAAAATCAGTGCATGACAATTAGTCCAAGAGACAGAATTTATTCTAGGAGTAAAAGCTTTAGTAAGAAGAGAAATTGAAAAAATTCATATTGTGAAGTGAGCCAAACCCAAAGAAAGATAGGTCCCATGGTTTCCCTTATTTGCAGTAATTATTATACGTCTAGGATAATCTTATCAGATGAGCAGAAAAGTTCAAAAGCTATGTACATATGACCATAAAAGATGATGCTAATCGCCAAAAAAAAAGATGATGCTAAATGAAATGAACTCCAAGATATGAACACAAGATGTTTTTCTTTGTCGTTGTTGTTTTTAATGTACTATGTGATTGTTTTGGTTTCTTTTGTATGTTCTTCCTCCTATGGTATATCCCATATTGTCACTGTATTTTATTTTGGTACCCTGCATCTTGTAAATACATTTATCTAATTTGGGGAGAGGGAGGGGAATAACAAAATGCTGAAACAAGGACACAGGATGACCCACTGCAAAAATGATATTCACAAGACACTGTGTTGGAAATGAATTTTACAACTTCTAGAGTCAGGAAAGACTAGAGGAGGTGGGGGAGGGATAGGATAGTAGGAGAAAAAGGAGGGAGTATCAATGTTTGACAAGAAATGTACTCATTATCTTATCATGTAACTGTAATCCCTCTGTACAGCATCTTTACAATAAAATAAAATTTTAAAAAAAGAAGAGGAATTGAGACTGACCACACTGGAGTGGAAATGCCATTTTATTGCTTCTAGGAGGAGGATGAATTTATTAATTGATTTTCCAAAGTCTTTTCTGGTATTCAGTGTCTATCTTGTAACTTTAGGCTATTCAACATGGGTAGAGTTCACTGATTTCAATTGGCTGCTAAAGGGGGAAAATACCGCTCTTCCACTAGTCATATAAGTTTTACATATTCTGACTTTCTGTGATACAAAGTATTACTGACATCCCAAGGTGCTTTTCTTATAGCAAATTCACACTTGTAATTTTCTGCTAGTTTCCAAAAAATAACCCCTTATATACTTAAGGCTGTGCTTGTATAAAAATTTAAATAATTTAATAGATTTTAACATAAGTTATAAAAGAAAAAATAAAGGCCTCCTTGAAATAAACATAACAAAGGCTAAAAATATGTAGATGGCTAAAAATATCCCACAAATTTGGGATCCCAGTATAAGAATTAATTATGTATTTAATTACATTTAATTACATTGTAATTAATGAACATGCATTCATTATTCAGAACATGATTCTAGAAATTTATGGTGGAAGACTGCATTTAAAGAATGAAAATGTCTTAAAATTATAGCTAAGCAATAAAAACATTTAAACACAAAGAATACTTTCAGGATCTAAAAAGTTGTGGAGAAGACCACTATGAAAATAATATAACTTGTTTTCAACTTCTTGATGACAATGTTAATGGATGTTGATAAAACTGAAGCAAATTCAGCATCAAAATATTCCATTTAATTTAGGAAAAAACTATTTATATGTCATATATATCATATGCATATATATATGCATGTCATTTCAAATATGTCCAAAATCAAGAAATAAGAATAAAAATTTGGTAATTTATACAAGAATAATGTCATTTTTTTTTGGTTGGTCGTGGGGCCTGAAGTCTGGGCCTAGGCACTGTCCCTCAGCTCTTCAGCTCAAGGCTAGGGCTCTACCACTTGAGCCACAGCACCACTTCTGGCTTTTTCTGCTTATGTGGTGCTGAGGAATCAAACCCAGGGCCTCATGCATGCAAGGCAAGCACTCTACCACTGAACCACCTTCCCAGTGCAATATATTCCCTATGTCCACCTATACATGTCTACAGTGAGGACCTTAATATTTGTGTTATGAATATTTTACTAGAGTCAAACAGTGTTTAGGTTATCAAAGGGTAATAATTTCCAAAGAATTCAAACATTATTAGTCATTTATTACAAGTGTGTGCAAATTTATTGCTTGTTTTATTTCATTAACTTTTGAAATCTAATTCCAAACTACATCAAGTAGTGATTATAGTCTTGAATCACTTGGCCAGAATTGATGGGACCCTAGAAATGTAAGTACAGAAGAGATAACATAGAAACAAATGAACAAACAAAAAAACCCACCTCTGGTTCCTCAGTAATACATGACTCCGTGTGTGTGTGTGTGTGTGTGTGTGTGTGTGTGTGTACACACATACACTGGGGCTTTAACTCAGGACTAGAGCCCTATTGCATAGCTTTTTCTGCTCAAGGCTGATGCTCTATGACTTGAGCCACAGCTTCACTTCCAGCTTTTTGATGGTGATTAATTGGAGATAAGAGCTGCAAGGAGTCTTCTGTCTGGTCTTGCTTCAAACCTTGATCTTCAGACCTTCTTAATAGCTAGCTTTACAGGCCTGAACCACCAATGCCAGGCAACCACAGCTCCCCTGTGGACTTGTTTTCTTATGTGTACAATGTGATTTGTTTCTCAGTTCTAAAACTTCAAGCAGAATGCCTTAAAGCAAAGAAGAAAAGGGTTTTTCTTTGGCCTCCACTTCTTTATTCTCAATTCACCTCAACCCTGTCCCAAACTCAGTGGCCCTCTGAGCACTGCCATGACTGTGGACTCAGATCCCCTTCACTCATATCTTTCCCCACCTGCTAGTAGGTTTCTTACTTCCTAATCATTGAGCCGTTTGCAATATTTGATAGGGTCTTACAACCACAACTAAGGCCAATGAGCCATGAGGGGGGTGGGGTTACTCACTGCTTCATTTTAAAGTTGGAGAGGTATTTAACGAATCTTTGAGACAGAGGATTCAAATTAATATGAGTGGAATTATTAATGAATTAAGTAGTAGGAATATTATTCTACTCATATTAACAGCTAAATTTATAACACATTGTGCTTCAAGTACTTTACAGTCTTTACTCACAGTACCCACCCCCTAGGAGTTGAGTACCATTATTCTCATTAACCCATACTTACAAACCCTTGTCCAAAGCTAACCAACTTTTTGTTGTTGTTGTTGTTGGGGGTGGGGCTTGAACTCTGGGCCTGGGCGCTGACCCTGAGCTCTTCAGCTCAAGGCTAGTGCTCTACCACTTGAGCTACAGCGCCACTTCTGATTTTCTGGTGGTTCATTGGGAAGCAGAGTCTCTTGGACTTTCCATGCCCAGGCTGGCTTTGAACCGTGATCCTCAGATCTTAGCCTCCTGGGTAGCTAGGATTATAGGCATGGGCCACCGGCTGTGCAGAGGGTGACTTTAAGTTCTGACCACAGTGCATTCCCTTATGCTTACTATAGGGAAAAACAAAAACAAACAAAAAACAAACAAAAAAAGGTCCTATCCAATGTCCAGAGAGCAAAGAGTGCACACACACACATACACACACACACACACACTCCCCTGGAACCCTGGAGACCACCGAGACCCTGTGTTTTCTAAAAGGGGAGGGGGTCCCTTTAAGGGAAGGTAGCATTTTCCCACCGGACAAAAAGTAACTCCGGAACGGGGAAGAGGGGTTTTCTCCGGAAGGGGCTGGGCGGGGGCGAGGGGCTCTCTAGGAAGGAGGGGGGGTGGCCTATTGGCTGGGGCAGCCCCTGCTCCAGCCTTTAAGGATCGCCGATCGGAGAAGCCAGGGCGCGGGGTCGGGACCGGGGGGGAAGCGGGGTGGGGTG